CTCTCTCTCTCTCTCTCTCTCTCCAAAACCTTCCCTCTTCTTACTCTCTTCCACTCTCCTCTCTCTTTCTGTCCTTCTCTGTCCCCCCTTTCTCTGTCTCTACCCCTTTCCAGGTTGCCCCTCTGCTCCCTGGCTTCCTTCCTCCAATAAACTTCTTTTGTATTAGGCCCTTAACGTGGATGATTCCTCAAGGGGAACAACTTGACAGAGACCAGACCGCTGTGGTGCTACATCCTTCTACATCACACCACCCTTTTATAAAACACAACAGTGTCACCTTAGGGCATGCAGATAAGGGAACACGGTACAGGAGGCAGCTTGGTGATGGTACCTGTTTGTGAGGACAAGGTAAAGACAGCCATCTGTCTGTGTTCTCAGGGTTAGCCCCGTGCCTCTCTCCAGCTTCATTTCACTGGCTGTGGCTCTGCAGGAGGAGAGATTGGAAAGTCCCTGTGGCCTGGTGGACAGGACCCACATCCCCTCAGCCCACCCCTGGGAGACAGCGGGTCACCTTTGCCTCCGTCTCCACAGCTGCCTAGTCCTCCTTAATGGGTCTGGAGAGGACTTCTGCTCTTGGTGTTCCATAATTCTCACAGGAGAATTTTGCCACCTTTGGAGTCCTAGACAGAAGTAGACAAAGTGTTTCCTAACTGACCTGCCTGGCTACTCTGCGCCTGATGCTCGGTGCTTCTCACAGGTTATGTCTGCTTCAGTGTTAAGGCTTTTACAACTGACAGCGCCAGGAAACAAGTCTAAGGCCTTTTCCTCCCCATTTCAATATAGTAGTTGAGTCCAAGTATCAACCTAACAAACATCCCTCAGAGAGTACTGTGGACTGTAGACCCTGTGTGATTTTGTCCTTTGTATCTTAGAAGTGATCAACCAGCCCAGACCTCCCACAACCATAAATGGTCTGTTGATTTAAAACTATCAGATGAGGAATTCAACTCTCACTAGAATAAATTTAAGGAAGTTATTTTTCAAGGGAGTGCATTGTGAAATTTCATAAGATAACCAAAGAGAATGGTCTCAGTCAATGCTACCTATTTAGTCTTACAGCAGGAATGAGTCTTCTTTACATGGTTTATTTCAGAGATTTTTTGTTTTACCAAATTCTATATGGCATAAAATATATACATGTGCATATAATTTAAATCATTCTTGGAACAAAAATCAGATGTAAATATTGCTGTGTTAACCATTCACATTTATGGAATTGTTAAAAATTATTTAGAAGCCATATGTAATTATATCTCACTGAGCTGTACACTTCAGTCCTAGTTTGTTTGCTCTGTCAATGACATGTTAATAATTTATTAGGCTGCAGCTACTTGATATCAAACAAAAAATAACTTGGTGAAAGTAGACACCAAAATTCTGAAGGAATCACTTCATAACTTCAAAAGAGATGATTGTATAGAGAATGTTTTCCTTCCTTTAGACTCTTCATTTCGACTCTGTGGAGGACGTCCATTCACGCTTTCAAAGCCTGAACGCTGAAGTGAGCAAGCGTGGAGCATCTCACACTCTGAAACTTGCTAACAGACTCTATGGAGAGAAAACCTACAAGTTCCTCCCTGTAAGTACCTAGCACTTCACATTCTGAAACTTCCTGAAGTGAGGCAGGCTTTTCCTGGCACAGCCACGTTGCAGGCCATTCATAAAAACAGCAAAGAATGTGTGTGGGACTTTCACCTCAGTTTGTCTAATGAAGGGATCCCTTCTGGATGTCTTATTAAAGCAAAAGAAGGACTGAAGGGATGGCTCCACTGGGACAAGAGCTTCCTGTACAAGCATGAGAAGCTGAGCTTGGATCCCAGAACCCATGAAAAATGCCAGGCCTGGCTCTATAGTCTCCTGTAACCCAGCCCTGTGAGAGTAGAGCTATAAGGACCACTTGGGCTTGTAGACCACCAGTCTAGGCAGGTTAAGTGGGAGACCCTGTTTTAAAGGATTAAGGCAGAGAGTGAGAGTAAGACACCTGACATCTTTGGTCTCTGTGACTGCACAGATATGCACATCTATATAGACAGATGTTCGCATACACCACACCACACCACAAACACACATACACAGAGAGAGCAAAAGAAGTCTTGAAAAGCCACTTGAAGTATATTTAACATTTACTGATTTATGAAAATGTTAATGTAAGATCAAAAAAGTATTAGTAACCTTTGTACTGATACCAGAAATGTTAAACAAATGTCTAGACTTGCCACTACTGCACTATAACACTATAACCTTAAAAATAACTAGGACAGCAAATTCCAACATGATTGAAGACTCTAAAGGTTAAGTTTTAATGAAACATTTTCATTTTATGACTTTTTGCTTTTGAGATCTTAGAAAACTTCTCTAAGGAATAGCAGTTGTTCATCGTGGCACTTTCTTTCTTAAAAATAGGAGTTCTTGGCTTCAACCCAAAAAATGTACGGTGCTGACTTGGCCCCTGTAGATTTTCAGCATGCCTCTGAGGATGCAAGGAAGGAGATAAACCAGTGGGTCAAAGGTCAAACAGAAGGTGAGAGGCTGAGCAGTGCTGGCTCTGTCAGTCAGTTTCACTTCTGTAGATCACACCTGACATAATCAGCTTGTGGACTAAAGGCTGATTTTGACTCACAGTGTTGCAGGTTTCTCTTTATAAATGACTGGACTTATTGCTTTGGTACTATGGTAACACTGCACCTCATGTTAAAAAAAAAAAAAAAGCATGGCCGAGGAGGCCTCTTCACGTCACTTGTGGAGAGAGAGAGAGAGAGAGAGAGAGAGAGAGAGAGAGAGAGAGAGGTCTCACAACCACTTTTAATAGCAGCATGCCTTTCCCAAGGTAGGTTTAAAGGTGAAGATCTACAATCTCAGCACTTGGGAGGCAGAGGCAGGAGGATTGCTTTGAATACACGTGGCAAGACCCTGTCTCAAACTAAAACCAAATAAAAAGAAAACACACTCTGCAATGATCGACAGACACCCACCTAGGTCCTACATTTTAAAGGTTCCTCTGCCTTCCAATGCAGGATGGACCAAAGCCCAACCCTTTAAGAGAATCACTTTGTAGGGACCCCTCTGAACCATAGCAGAGCCATTTTGCACAGACTCTCACTACCCTGCACTCTCACTTGCATCTCCTTTCTCCCTTCCACAGCATCCCAAATCCTGGCTTATGTGCACTGACATTCAGATGCTATTCCCTAGAATAAGGGACAACTTCAAATGTCAGAAATTTAACAGTGGAGAAATACAAATATGATTTAATGGAATCAGTTGAGTACATATTGGTTCCCCTAAAGTACAACTGAAAGTTAAAATCAACATTAAAATGCAGAATAAAATTAATAAAAATGCCTATCCAGTGCTCACATGGAAAGAAATGAGATGTGAAACCTCATGGAACCATGAAGTCAGTATTTAGAAACTGTAGCAGTCATAATATTTTGGTCACCATCTTATTGACTAACTCAGAAGTCATAGGTAGGGAGTGACTTGCCCTCTGGGCTCAATTCAGCTTTGGGATGGATCTGTCTTGTTTCTGTGTGAGTCAGCTCCCAGGGATACTGTCTGGAATTCTATCAGTTCCCAGCAGTGCTTCAGGCTGTGCAGAGAGTGGCTTCTGTTTCAATAAACTTACCCCTTAGATAAGTCTTATTATCTCTTAGATATTTGTTCAAAGCCCTCTTCATGAGAGCAGGCTCTTACTTAGCATCTTTGAAAACTATTCACCAGTGACCAAAAACATTTCCACTAAGGAATATTGTTTGTTTGTTGTTTATTTTTTGTAAATAATAGCCATTCAAAAATAATAGTTACTGTTTCCTCTTGGAATGAAGACCCTTGTTGTTTTAAACTTTTCAAGACATTTGACTGACTTTAAGCTTATTTCTTCCTGCTCAGGGGATGGACATGAAGGTCATAGAACACTAGACACAAGCCTGTTCGGTCTTAGAATTTGGTTTATTGAAAATAAAAATTGGGCAAGTGAGTCTTTCTTAACACTGAGTTAAAACAAAATAAAGTTTGAAGTCTATGTTGAATTAATAAATTATTGGTTTAAATTTGAAATTCCAATATGGACCTTTAAAGAAGCTTACTTCATCTTTTCAGGGAAAATCCCAGAACTGTTGGCAGTGGGTGTGGTGGACAGCCTGACAAAACTTGTGCTAGTGAATGCCATCTACTTCAAGGGGATGTGGGAACAGAAATTCATGACACGAGACACAACCGATGCTCCATTCCGACTGAACAAGGTCAGGTGACACCATCATCCTGAGCTGTTCTTGGTTGTGTGTGTGTGTGAGTGCTTGGGTTGTAGCACAAGTCCTCTCCTATTGTAAACCAAGCCTTTATCATTGTGCCCTCTACCCCAAGTTCCCAAATTTCTCTTTGTACTAAAAGAGATGAGGGAATAATTTCAGTGATTTTTTTGTCCCCATTCAGAAAGACACAAAAACAGTGAAGATGATGGATCAAAGGAATAATCTTCCATTCGGTTACATTCCGGACATGAAGTGCAAGGTGCTGGCAATGCCTTACCAGGGTGGAGAACTTAGCATGATCATCCTGCTGCCTGAAGACACTGAGGATGAGTTCATGGGTCTTAGGAAGGTAATTGACTCTCACAAGTCATGATTTGTGTTCCTTTTAACTGTACTGTTCTTATATTTCATGTCTGTGCACTGCACCATAAACACTTGTTCTTCCACAGACTTTACCCAAAATCCCTTGCCAGTGTTCTCCCATTTTTGTCAATATTGTCCATCAGGAGTTACTGCTCTGAGGCCTCATGCTCATGCAGTCAGTATCATCATCATCTTCATCATCAGCATCTTCATCATCATCATCATCATCATCATCATCATTTATTATTTACATTACCTGAGTACCTTGGGTTAGGCAAGTGTTCTATTTATCACTAAGCCACACTCCCAGCCCAGAGGCCTAAAATTTAAATGTTCAGAATATTTGCTGCCATCAGTGAAGCATTGTGATGGGGACAATTTAGAGGTTTAAAAGTAAAGGTAACAGTGATAAGTGACCTCTCACAGAAAGTCTCTTGCAGTATCTTTAAAGGAATTATAATGAGAATTGATTTACATCTTTAGGGATTGTGTGTCTCCTGACAGGATTAGAGGTAGACATAGCTGTGAAGACCACAGTTTTCTCTCAGAAATCCAAGCTGTCTTGTGGTTTGCTCCTGTTCCTTCCCAGTCTATACTTGCAACCAGGAAGTAGCCTGCTGTCATTTGAATGTACAGAGTGTGTACTGGCATGAATGTGGTGCATTTGTCAGTTGTATTTTCTGGCTGGTAATTAAATGAGGCTTTATTCACAAGAAATAAATTGCCACTATCCATAAGGAAGTTGGTTTTGTTTAGTCCAATAGAGGAACAATAATATTTGCTATTTATATAGTACTTACTATAAGCCAAATACTTTTGCTACACCAATTTATACAATGGTTCCAACAATGCTACCAAGTTGATGTCATTAGCATGCATAGTATAGTCTATGTATCTACTCTGTTCCACTCTACTCTACCCTACTCTACCCAACTCTACTCCACTCCATATAAAGATCTTATTATATGGCCAAGATTGTCCTTAAAATCAGCTCTCTATCAGTGGCTCCTGAATGCTGGGATTGCAGAGTGTTTGCCCCCATGTCAGCTGGTTGTCCTTGTTTTAAATGAAGTAAGTCCCATCCATTCTGTCCCTTTTTCATTGTACTCAGGAATTATTAGAGATTATTTCAGCTCTAGTGTAATTTATACATAACTACAACTTTAGAAGTTTTCAGAAAAAATAGAAGAAACTCATAAAATTTCCCTTGTACCATTCAAGCAATTGGAGTAATAAAACTTCTTATAGCTCACTAGTCAAGTGATTCAATGTAATAGGAATGCAAAATTCCTGAGTGGATGGAAGGATGGATAGATGGGTGCAGTAAAGGAAGACTAGGATGGAAGGAGTGAGTAAGTGAGAGAGGCAGAGAGAAATTTGTAGAAAACTGGGTGAAGGATGGGTGGATGGATGGATGAATGGATGATGGACGGATAGGTGGATGGATGATGGGTGGACTGATAGATAGATGGATAAATGGATGACAGACACATTATTAAATGATTTTGTACTTGGACCCTCAAAGACCTGTAAAATAGTTCTGATATATTCTACCAATTGACAGACAAAAATGGAATCAATGTGGAATGCGATTTTGTAGAACAAAAGAAGGTAACCTATATGTTCTGGCAATTTGAGTCTGTTCATTGGAATAGTACCTTATTACAGTAAGAAATTAATTTCCTTTTGCCTTACATTAATTCCAGATTGAGCAGAAATTAACTTTGGAAAAACTTCATGAATGGAACAAACATGAGAACTTGAGAAACATTGATGTCCATGTCAAATTCCCCTGGTTCAAGATGGAGGAGAGCTACATCCTCAACTTCAACCTGTGCTGCCTGGGAGTGCAGGATCTCTTTAGCAGAGGCAAGGCTGATCTGTCTGGCATGTCAGGATCCAGAGATCTTTTCATTTCAAAAATTGTTCACAAGTCCTTTGTGGAAGTGAATGAGGAGGGAACAGAGGCAGCTGCTGCCATGGCAGGTATTATTGGATGCTCCCTGGGACGTGAGAAAGAGTTCACAGTGGACCATCCATTTCTTTTCTTTATTCAGCATAACCCCACTGCTAATGTGCTCTTCCTTGGCAGAGTTTGCTTCCCATAGAAGACAGCGACTTTGGAGATACAAGGCACAGCTTAGAGTTTCATTACTTGAGATTTTAATGGTGATTGTTTTCATTTGTCCTTGACAATAAAACTACTATCAGAAATCAATCTTTCTTTCCTTTATATGTTCAACCCTGTTGGATTTTTATATTCATGTATTTTGGTATGGGTATGTGTATTTTGTTTTTATGCTGAAAAATAAAATCTAATTGTCACTGTCAACAGAATCAGATCTAAAAGCAAAAGAATTAAATAGATGTATAGATGATGAATGACCATGAGGTAACCTCTGGAATTGCCATATGTTCCTGACAGGCATGAAAATATAGGGCTTTTTCCATGGTCAGTTGTTTCTCAGTCTAGAATTAGACTAAGGCAAAACCAATCAATCAAACCAACAAGAAATAAAGCACTAGTAAAATTAATGAATCCATAACAACTGCTATCTACTCTGTTCTGTGATGTGTGAAATGAAACAACATTATTTCCTTTACAGAGTTTAGGAAACCTTAGTAGAAGTTATTCCTGGTTGTTGAGGACAGGGTTAAAAGAAGATATTCCCTGGGAATAAATACAACTGAAGATTCCACTTCTTGTGAAGACATACTTTCTCCATTATTCTGCCCAGGACATAAGCCTAACTTTGCCAATGTCACTGTCACTTTGTGTGAGGCTAGTCTTTCCTTGGGTTTCTCACACCTTGTTCCTCCTTTCCATCCTAGATACACTCAGAATTGCCTTTACCACCCATGTTTCTGCCAGCTGAAGATCTAAGCCAGGAAAGATCTCTCTCAGAAGGGTGGGGAGCTCCCCATCATCATCTGTCACCACTGTCATCCTTAAAGCCCCAACAATAGAAATCTCAAACTCTGCCACTCTCTGTCACCACTCACAGCAGGAGCCATCGCTGTGGGAGGTTGTGTGAACACAGTGCAAACATGATGCTAATATCTTACTCTGTGGGGTTATAACTCAATAGTGAAACTGAGAAGTTTGTTTACAAAATTTGCTTCACTTTTCGAGACTGAAAGCTTGAGTTCAAGGTGTTGGGGGGTTCTGTGTTTAGTGAAGGCTTCTCTCTGCTTCCAAAATGGTGCCTGCTTGCTGAGGTTTCTGGGGCTGAGGATCACCTCATCAAGTAGATGAGATGAAAATGGCAGCCCATCCAAACCCTCTGTCTTAGTCAGCGTTTTCACTGCTGTGGTAAAACGCCATGATGAAAGCAACTTGGAGAGGAAAGAACAGGTTTATTTCAGTTTCTGCTCAGGCCACAGGCCCCCGCTTAAGGAAGTAGGGCCGAGAGCTCAAGGCAGGAATTGAAGCAGAGACCATGCAGGAGTGACTTGGTTTGCATGGCATATATTAGTTTAATACAATATAGTCGGGTCTGGGTTTTACCTCCCTCAAATCCAACTAGATCCTCCCTCACCCACTCAACTCACTCTCTCTCTCTCTCTCTCTCTCTCTCTCTCTCTCTCTCTCTCTGTCTCTCAACAAAATTCGAACCAACTAGAAATGTTTAATGCACAAGAAGCACAGAGAGAGACAGAGACAAAGAGAGGGGGGAAGAATCATAAAATTGGGAACCATAATATAAAAGTGAAAAGCTAGTGAGAATCAAAAGCACAAATACAGCCCTGTGAGGCAAAAACATTTACAAAAATACCACTGAGTTCATTTTGTGTTGGCCATCTACTGCTGGGCATGAAGCCTGCCAGTAAGTGGCATTAAGTGTGGTCAATGTACCAAGTGAGACTTCATGGGAGAAAACCTATCATCTCTCTTTTGCAAGCAGTTGTCAGTTGGAGGCAGCTCCTTGGTGAAGGATGGGAGGAGTCCTTGTACACTCCTCCTTCTCAGTGCTGGGAGCCTGTATGGCTTGGACCTGTGCATTCTGCCACAGTCCATAAGAGTGTATTATCTATGGGATTGCTGAACATTTCCATTTCTAACTTAAGAACATGAATTATCATGCATAACTGAAGTCATGAAGCAGGAGACTCCTGTACTCAGCTATTGCTGCTGCCCAGCCCTTGAGAGCAGAAGTGATTTACTCTTAACCTGTCCTGATCTTCACACATGCTGCCTAGCCAGTACTCAGGATTCTCACAGATACCATGAAAGCCTGTCATTTACACTTTGAAAGCATTTTTGAATGAGCTTGCCTGTTCCTACTCAGTTTGGAAACTGTCTTGGGGTGACTGGTGACACTTTAAATTGTGGAATTATAAATGTGAGAAACAAAAGCACAAATACAGCCACAAATGGCAGCCTGTCCAAATCCTCTGTCCTAGTCAGCGTTTTCACTGCTGTGGTAAAACGCCATGATGAAAGCAACTTGGAGAGGAAAGAACGGGTTTATTTCAGTTTCTGCTCAGGCCACAGGCCCCCACTTAGGGAAGTAGGGGCAGGAGCTCAAGGCAGGAATTGAAGCTATCACGTTTTACTAAATAGTGAAATGTGATTGCTTTTTTTTGTTTTTGAGACAGGATCTTGTGCTAGATCTCCCTCAGTAGAACAGGCTAGCCTCCAACTCTTTTTTTTTAACTTTTAAACTTAGCTTATATAATATAAAACATTATATTTCATTATTACTTTTTCATACATATATATCATCCTACGTAGTTCAGATAGACCCTTGGCTTACTGTCTCTTGTCCTCATTCCATTGGAACGTAGGTCATTCTCCCCAATAGTAACACTTTTATGTCTTTAAAATAATCGAGGTTCCATATGGAAAGATTTGTGAAGAGGCTTTAGCAGTCTTGAGAATGGCAAACAAGGCTCAGGCCTTTCCCTTCACCCCCATTCCCTCTCGTTGCTAAAACTGTTAGATTGCTTTCTGAAAGCTAGCCACCAAGGTCTATTCTTTTATTTGGCCACTTGCTCGTCCAGAGGCTGCAACCAAGGTCCAACTATCAACGTATTGAAGTCCAGCATTTGGTTAACCTAATTAACATGATCAATCATGATTAAACAGCTCATCCTAACATGAGGCTTCCTCTTTGAGCTTTATAAGCCATGATCTACCTGTAGGCCATGTCTGTCTCCTCTCTATCCACAGGCAGGCCTTTGTAGCCCTTCCCCTTGTTCCTTTCCCACTCTTCCTAGTCCTCTGGCTTTCTGCCTTTGTCTCTTGTTCCCAGGCTTTGTCCCTCTAGCGCAGATAAATCTGCCTTGTAATAAATCTGCTTTGTGCTGAGAACTTGGTCTTGGGTGTCTTGAGCTGACTCCAAGAGTCCCTATTGTTTGTCCTTCTGAGCCTGGTTTATTTCAGTTGCCATGATGATCTCCAGTTCTGTTCCCTGTCCTGGAAAAGGCATAATTTCATTCTCAGCAGCTGAGTAAAACACCCACTATTGTGCCTACAAACCCCATTAAAAGTGACTGTAAAGGTAAATTATTTCCATGATTGAACCCTCTGGATAATAATTTTTTATTTTATTACACATTAACCAATTGCTGGTGTGTGTGCAAGCATGTGGGCATACCCAGTGTGTTCATCACATGTAATGAACCACAAGAGATCAGAGAACACCTTCCTAAAGTAGGTTCTTTCCTTCCACCATGTGGGTCCAGAAGTTTGAACCTAGGTTGTCAGTCTTGGTGACAGGTGTTTTTACCCATTGAACCATCTCATTATCTTTGACACCACAGAGTAAATGTAGGCAGGCAGTGAGGTGTGGCATAGGTGATTGGGATCAGTGCTGAGATCAGCCAATGGGAATCAGCACTAAGAGGGGCAGATGGGGGTTGGTCCAGATAGTGACTGACCAGGACTGCTGCCTATGACATCCAGCAATTAGAGAAATTATTCAGCAGACTTTTCTCTGAGGGAACAAAGCTTGGTTCACTGGGGCTGGGCCACCCTGTGTCCAGTCAAATACTCGGAACTCTTTTAACTCTTTGGGGTTGGTGTGTAAGAAAAGGAAAGAGAGAAAATTCATGTGACTTCACACATGTTCTGCCACTGAGCTACAAGCCAGGCCCTTTAAATTTGTTCTTAATAACTTATTTCTAACTTGTTACAATAACTCCAAGTCCTCAAACTAACCAAGGCTTCATATGAGGATGCTGGTTGACACTGAGCAATTTTGGACCCTGTACTGCGGTTGTAGTTAACAAGGAAATCCTAGAGAAGTCTTATTAGTCCAGTGGCTTGAGTAACCAAAGTCACAGAAATAGGAACACCAGCATCTTGGGGTTTCTTCTAGCTCTTTCTTTGTCTTCTGCAGACCACAGTACACATTACTTTTTGAGCAGCACAGCACACCTGCTCCCTACAGGGGGCAGACACTCACCCTTGTATAATAAACAGGCCTGACTTCTGGGCTGTCCAGATCCCTAGCATTCACACGGTTTTTCCTTTTCCAGCTAGTGGTTTCTGTTCTCTCAGACAACTAGAATTACACAATTCAATGATGCCTGGCACTTTGGGGTCATTTAAGCTAAAATTACAAACAGAACCTACTTGGTTTCTAGTTTTCCAAGAAAAGGACGTAAAAAACTACAACCACATGGCCAAGACAATCCTCTTTCAATCAGTATAGACAAAGTTTTTCTGCTCTATTTCTCAGAAAAAGAAACCTGATAGCCCTCAATCATTTTTCTCAAACTTTGGCCTTAGTCTATTGTGTACAGTCAACATCTCACCTTTAAACTCTGTATATACCTGCAATGAATCTTGTCTATTAATAAACACCATGGCATGGCCAGAGCCCCTTTTATGAATAACTAGAGAAACTCCCATCACATTGGAAACCCCAGTAGTATTTAAAAGGTTTTGTTAAGATATGTAAGCCAAGGTTCCATACTTACAGACACTCAATCAGCAGGGCAGACAGATACACTTGCTCAGAGAAATGGGGAGCTAAAGCGACAGATTTTCAATGAGATATTTGGGGATGTCAAAGATACTAATCATCCTCTGGGTCAAATGGTATGCCTGACAGAAACTTTTAGAGACACCAAGCCAGGTTGCCTCAGTTGGATACCAATCTAGCATGTCAGCTCTCTGACCTGGATCATGATTCCTCAGCCCTGCTGGTAAATTCATATCACAGCACAGATTCTGTCACAGAGTAAGGAACAGTCATCAGTAATGAAGTT